AATTGGCTGCCTAATCGGACTCCATCAGCTCGCCCTGGGGAGGGTTCCTGGGACCGCTGTGTGACCTTGGGTGTGCCCTGCCCTCTCTGGGCCTCCCTGTACCCTGGATCAGGTTCTGCTTGAGATCACCTGGTCACCCAAGATCCTCTTCCTCCAACCCGGCCATGGCTCAGGGGCAGGCTTCAGGGTGGGCCTGAGACTGGGGACCCAGGACATCAGAGGCTGCAGGCCAGGGAGGCTAGCCCCCAAAGGGAGGACTTTCCACACCCCACGGGCGAATAAGGACAGAGAGGCTCAGAGAGGGAAAGTGACCAAACAGCCAGTGTGAGTCAGGAGCAGGGGGGCCTGAGCTAACGTCATGCCTGTGCACCCCTGTCTCCCCGTGAGGCCCTGTGGAGGGACCCCAGAGGCCCCTGCTGCTAACACGTTCAGTGTTGGATTGTGGATGACACTAGGCAGAGCCATTTGCAGAAGGGAAAATCACCTCTGCGTGCTGGCTTTGTGGGAAGCTCACCCTGCCTCGCCCTTGGGAACTGGAGAGGGGCCCCTCTGTTCAGAGCACCTTCGGCAATGAGGAGCTGGGATCTGCCTCCCGGGAGTACGCCCGTCCCGTGAAGCCTACTGAGTGCTCTGCTCTCTGAGCCCTGGGACAGCTGGGAACCTAGAAGGTCTCCAGCCCTGTCTCCATCCCAGCTACCTCCTACAGACCACCCCAGGGTGGGGCCTCAGGCTGAGCACAGGGCCTGGGGTCAGAGCAGTGCAGAGATCCGGCTAGGAGGCCAGGAGAGTTCCTCCCTGGAAAGACAGTGCGAGGGGAGCCTGGGGTGAGGGGAAGTCTCTGGGGATTTGGGGGCATCTCATCATCCTGGGTCCCCTGTCTCTTAACCTGATGTAACCACCCACACACTGCCCCAATTACATTGTTATGGGACCTCAGGCTTCACATGTAGCGCCGCCATTGTTGCCAACCCCCTCCCCCGACCAGTGTCACGCTACCCCATCACCAGAAACACACCAGCTTTCCTCCCTTCACCGTCACCACCACCACTACTCCCCTCATCCCCACCATCACTGTCACCAACAGCACCACGACGATCGTCCCTGCCTCAACCCAGTATCATCACGGCCACACCACACCCCCGCCACCACCATCACCGCCGCCACATCCTGCCTAACATCACCTCCATCACCTAGACCAGGATCACCGTCCTGTGACCTCCAGGATGCCCAGCACTGCCGTTGCCATGACCAGCGTCATCACCGTCACTGTCACCACTGCCACCATGCCACCTCTGACGGGCCACCTCCACCATCACCATAACCGCCCGTCTCCGCCTCAACCAGGCTTCGCGTTGCCTTGACCACCAGTATGGCCCTCATCTCCACCGTCACTATGGTCCCCACCACAGCAACATCCCTCACCGCCACCAATGCCATCGTTACCATGACGACCATTCCCAGCGTCACCGTCACCTGCAACACCACCATTTCCACCTCCCTTCTCATCACTACCATCATCATCTCCTCCGTCACCTCTGCCACCTTCACCACCAATGCCGCCTCTGCCACACAATGTCACCACCTTCTGCACTGTCACCATTAACACGAGCCCACCTGCGCCACCACCACCACCTCCCCCGGAGCCGCCGTCACCATCGCCCTGTGCAAGCACTTGCTGACTGTAACAGGCATGAAGATATTTAATATAAGTTTTCGCAACCGTAGGATGACCTGGGGGCAAAAAGATCAGGGACAAGTCATCGCTGAGGGTCTGCCTACTGCTCCAAAGTAAGTGGATCTCAAGAGCTCTCCAGGAAGCTGCTGGAAGCTCACGTTATTCCAGGAAGCTCCCTGGAGTATCTCAGCCTGCAGCCTGGAAGCCCGGGTGTCTCAGAGGATGGCCGGAAGTTGCTGCAAACCTCCGGTTGTCATCTGCCTTCAGCTTCTTTCTCTTTCACTTTCCAAATCGCATGCATTGGCAGACTCCACCTGGGAACCACATGAGGGATTCTGGAAAATCTTCCCTAACTCTCTAGGATGCAGAGGAGACCGTCGAGGAGGGTGGTGGACACCACATCTGCCAGGTCATCACCCTTGGCGTCCGCGCTGTTGCTAGAGCATTTCGTGACTCCCCCCGTTGCCAGCACCCCTCTGTGGCTGTCACAGCTCCCGTCAGCCAAGCGGCACTGCCATCAGCACCGGGGCCGCCAATCCCACCATCTCCATCACCCCCACGATCGCCGGCAGCATACTGCAGTATTGCCCACTTCCTCAGAGGATCGTGCCTCTCCAGCTGTTGCTGGAGACTTGCAGAACCTTCCTGAAGGGAGTACCATTCCCCACCCCACTGATACTGGCCTGGGCCACGTGGCATGAGCACGGGTGACGTACATCACATCCCGGGAGAAGTGTTCAGAGGCACTCCACGTTTCTCGCAGCTCCCACTCACGCCCTCTGCGCCATGAGAATGGTATATTCCAGACCAGAGCACTCCCTCATCCAGGATCCGGAAGGAGAAGACATGTGAGTTGGAGCCCCAGCGACATGGGCAAGGGCTAAATGTCCGTGGTAAGGCTCCAAGATGTGGGGGTTGTTACTGAAGCAAAGCCGTATGACACGCAACTTGAACTACCCCACTGCCTTCATCCCCATCACGGCCACCAACGTCATCACCTCCAGGACAACCATCACCACGACCAACTCCCCGATAGTGCCCCTAGTAGCCTTTCCATCACCTCCCTGTCACACCTCCACCGTCTCTATCAATATGACCTCTACCACTACCGGTCCCCAGTCACCATCCCCTCCATTGTCACCTCCACGTGTTAACTCTCCACCACAAGCACGACTACGGTCCCCACCACCAGTACCTCTTCTGCCATTATCAACTCCACTATCACCACCATAATTACTCCCACCCTCACCACTGCCTCCACATCGACACCACTACCCTTAATCACTTCTACTGTCTTAATGATGCCTTTTCACCCCCGCACCATCCCCACAATCATCATGGAGAATTGCGTGGGGAGGCAGCTTTCCCCAGCTCCAGTGGACAAGCCTGTCGAGAACAGTCTCTAACTACAGTGACAGAAATATAGTTACGAAAACACAGAAACATTTTCATCTGTAGCTACATACCCAGTGAACTTACTCCCTGCTCTTCATTTCCTCTACCAAGCGATATGTGTTAGGTGTTAGCCCATGGGGCGGATGGACAGGGGGCACAGAGGATAGGTCCTGTTCCTGGTAAGGCGGGCGGCAGTGACCATGTCTGTCACTCTAAGTCAGGCTTGCAAAGTGTCTCCAGGTTCTGCTTTCATTCCTCCTGGCACTGGGGACTGGCTAGAACCTGCTGTCCCCTGCTAGGTTCCTGATGAGTACGGAAGGAAGAAAGAGAGAGAGAGAGAATACAGAGAGGGGTAAGGACCATAGAAAGAAGAGAAGGAAGGGAGCGGGGGAAAGAAATTGGGGGAAGAGAAGGAAGAAGAATGCCCTCTTATGTGACTTAGTGATCCCAACAGCTCTGCTCCTCATTGGTGCAGTTACTAGGTAGTTTAGCATGTGTTCCATCTTAACTGGAGGGGGGTGAGGGGAAGGGGGGAATAGATGTCAATCAACATTGTTAATTGCTATTTCTAAATATGATCTAACATTGGAGCAAGAATTAAAGAAATGTAAATGCCTAGGAACATCTGGTTCCTAATTCACTCACCTTACTAGCTTTCCAGGGCTGCCATGGCAAATTATCACACACTGGGTGACTTAGAACAACAGAAATGTAACCTCCCACAGTTCTGGAGGTCAGAAGTCCAAGATCAAGGTGTCAGCAGGACTGCACTCCCTGCTTCCAGCTTCTGGTGACTGCGGGTTCTCCCCGCGCTGCATTGCCATCCCCCTTTTCTGTGTGGCTCTGTAAGGACGCTTATCATTGCATTGGGGACCCACCTACATAATCCAGGATGTTCTCATCTCAACATCCCTAATTTAATTACATCTACAAAGACCTTGTTTCCAAATGAGATCATATTTGTAGGTTCCAGCGATTAGGACAGGGACATAGCTTTTGGGGGGCCACCATTCACCCCACTACATTCACTAGTCACACGTACCTGGATTTTTCTTACCAGAATGGAGTGGAATGCTTCTTTTAATTTGCTGTCCTCAGACAGCGCTGGGTTTGCATCTCTTTCTCTCTCACGGACATACTGTGTGACCTTGAGTACATCCTACATGTCTCTGAGCCTCGTTCATTCAACAAATATTTACTGATTTCCAGGCATGGTCTTAGACACTGACAAACACGCCTGCCTTTGTGGGGCTTACCTCTGAGGATCTGACCTGATAAAGGGGCACAAGAAGAATGAACTCCTGCTCCCACCTCCTTGTCTGATTTCCCACTTGGGGTCCCCTCACTCCATCCCAACAACCCAGCCAGCAGGCTAAGTGGACATGTCCCAGGAAGCCCGCCCTCCCCTCCCCGGACCACGGTCGCCAGGCTGCATTGCCCACCTAGGCCCGATCCTGTAGCTGATCCTTTCTCTGCTCCTTGGCTCCTGGGAGCTCAGCCCACAGGCCCAGCATGACCAAGCTCCAAGTTCTCAGACTGCCAAGGTGCCGACCTCAAGGGCAGGGGCAGGCCAGTGTGCCCCGGGGGTGCTGGTGCGGAGCTGGGGGTGGCATTTGCCCCGCCCAGGGCTGATGTCACAAAGGGCCCAGCCTCCGCTCTGCAGGGGGATCTGTCCCTGGCCTGGCCCCACTGTGGCAGTGTCCCCCTCCCCCCACCCCTCTCAGTGGAGGTGCCCACTTGTCCCTGAGAGCTGGTACTATGAAAAGGTAAAGTCGCCGGGCAGACCCGCGCCCGGAGCCAGCAGATTCCAGCAAGGCCCCTGCTGAGGGACCCACACCAACTGCTGCCTCCTCCGAGTCCATCCCGGCCCCCGGGGCCCCAGTGCCCACCTCACCTTCACCCCCGCCTCCGCCCCCTCCCTCCCCTCGGCATGGCCAACTACTACAAAGTGCTGGGGGTGCAGTCGAGCGCCTCCCCGGAGGACATCAAGAAGGCCTACCGCAAGCTGGCCTTGCGCTGGCACCCCGACAAGAACCCCGACAACAAGGAGGAGGCCGAGAAGAAGTTCAAGCAGGTGTCCGAGGCTTACGAGGTCCTGTCCGACTCCAAGAAGCGCTCCGTGTACGACCGCGCGGGCTGCGACGGCTGGCGGGCTGGTGGCGGGGCCAGCACCCCCTATGGCAGCCCCTTCGCCACGGGCTACACCTTCCGGAACCCCGAGGACATTTTCCGCGAGTTTTTCGGCGGCCAGGACCCCTTCTCGTTTGACTTCTGGGACGCCCCTTTCAACAGTGACCGCGCTGGCCGGGGCCGCGGCCTGAGGGGGGCCTTCTCGGCCGGCTTCGGCGAGTTCCCGGCCTTCCTGGAAGCCTTCTCGTCCTTCGACACCCTGGGCCGGGCCGGCGGTGCCAGCCGCACCACCTTCTCGTCCACCTCCTTCGGCGGCTCGGGCGCCGGCGGCTCAGGCTTCAAGTCGGTGATGTCGTCCACCGAGATGGTCAACGGACACAAGGTCACCACCAAGCGCATCGTGGAGAACGGGCAGGAGCGCGTGGAGGTGGAGGAGGACGGGCAGCTCAAGTCGGTGACCATCAACGGCAAGGAGCAGCTCAAGTGGGTAGACAACAAGTGAGCGCCCGGCCGCCCGGGGCCACTCGCCCGCTGCCCGCCGCACAGGCCGCCAGAGTGGCTGATGGTTAATAAATGTGCCAAGTGAGTTCATGGAAACAGCTGGCCCGGATGTGTGGGGCGCAGGCACCTACCTGCTGGGCCGCTGGGGCCCCAGCCCCCATGCGCAGGACCGGGTACGCTCAGGCCCGAGGGTGCCACCTCCATGCCCGGGCTGCGTTAGTGAGAGGTGCAAGGGTGGTTCTGCGGGCGGTCTGTGAGCTCTCTTGTCTATGTCGTCAGGGCTGGTGTCTGTTCATCTCAACCCAGCCCTGTGCCTCTGTGCTTGCTCTCTGATGGGAGAGAGGCATCATCATCCATCTCCATGTCTCAGCCCCCTGCCCCCTCAGTGATTCATCTCACAGCCAACTTGCCAAACCCAAGTTACATCACGTCACCTGCCTTGCTGTTAAACCTGCATGGCTCCCTCTGCTCTAAGCATAAAGACCTCAGGCCTTGTCCTCACCAGAAGGCCCTGGTGGCTTAGCCCCTGCACACCTTCCTGCAACCCTCACTCTCTGAGCTCTGGATATACTGGCCAACCCTCTATTCCTCCACTGGACCAAATGCCTTACACCCTCAGGGCCTTTGCATATGCTGTTCTCCCTGGTATTTGCCCACTCATCTCGAGGCCTTTGCTCAAGCATCACTTCTTCAAGGAGGCCTTCCCCAACACCACTATTCTGAATTAGTTCTCCACCCACCCTACTCTAAAGGCCCCTCACCTGTTTCACCCTGGCCCTGATGGGTTGTCTATGTGATTACTGAGAGATGGGTGCCTCCGTGACTACACTGGAGGTCCAAGGGAACAGGGCCTGTGCTTGTCTCATCGCTCACTGTATCCCCAGCGTCTAGAGCAATGCCTGGCACTAAGGGGCAAGGCACATTATTTGTTAGAAGAATGAATGTTTCTAGGTGTGTGTGTGTGTGTGTGAGCGTGTGCGTGTGTGTGTGTTGGGGTGTTGGGGGATGTGTGCTGATCCCGGGCAGGCCAGAGCAAGCCTGACTGTCTGGGAGGAAGTGGGTGCTAGAGCAGGAGATGGGAGATCTTGGGTCCTGTTCAGGACTCAGAAATGCAGTTCGGGGTGAAGTCTTCTGCTTGCCTCTGTAGTGCTCATGGCTGGGCCCCCAGGCTGGAAGTCAGGGCAAGCTATCAGTGTGATGCTCTTGTGGTGGGCACCACCAGCCAAAGTGGTGGTGCGCCTCTTTTGAGCAGTTTTATGGACTGTGGACAGAGGGACCAATAGGAGAGAAAGTGAGGCCAGCTATAGGCAGACAAGACCACGGACACATAGAAGGTCCCCTGGCAGGTGTTCTGAGGACTGGGACTGTGTTGTGTGATTTCCCAAACGACCCCGAAGTCGCCCTACATGGGTGGGGGGGCTGTGTAGCTTGAGGGTCATGTGTACGGACACTGTGTGCATGTTTTTGACTGTATCTGTGTAGCATAGAGAAGTGGAGGATGGTTTGATTTCAGTCTGCTGCCCCAGTAGACCATAAGCTCCACCAAAACAGGAGCTCTGATCCTGTTTTATGCTCATCTCCAGCCCCCAGCCCAAGGCATGAATATAGTAGATAAATATTTGTTGTATTGAGGTGTTTGTGTGGGCATGCGTGGATGCGTTTGTCTAGGAGCCTGAGCAAGGTCTCTACAGCTGGGCCACAGGGCCCTGTCCTCGGCATTGTGTCCTCAGTACGGCACTAAGGCTTTGAAGGAGCCACAAAAGGCACAGACCTCCCATTCTCAGACACACCCAGCTGGGAAGGGAGCAGATGCAGAACTGTTGCCCGCATCAGAAATAAGATGACCCAACCCTTGAGACTGGAGTGAATATCATAATTATGCTCTAAAGAGAAGAAGGAAGTCGGGCTGGGGAGACCTGGCTATGTCAGCCCTGTGTGGACATGGAGCTAGAGATCTTAGTGGACCACAAGTTTGTATGACCAAAGGTGTTAATGAGGAAACGCCTAGGAAGTTGCATGTGCCCTCAGAGAATGGATAGCTCTTCTGTTCAGAATTCTGATCCCACTTTGTGCTCAGCTCCAGGCCCTGCCCCGGGAGAAGGACAGGAGCAGCCTGGAGTGGGTCCAGAGGGGGTGGCTAGGGTGGGGAGAAGGTTGGAGACCTCATCCTAGGAGGAGCTGGGAAGACTCAACTTGGAGAAAGGCAGCCGCGTGTATTCCGGTTGCTGTCCCCAAGTCTCTGCAAGACTCCTCCAGGCCAGGAGAGCAGATGGGTCTGAGGCCCAGGGATCGGGCCTAGGAGCCAACGGAAGGGCTGGGTGTCACGAGGGAGCAGGTCCCAGCCTTATGGAACTGGAGATTTCTCTAAGTCAGAGCAAGGCAGACTCTCCTAAGGGGAGTGAGCTTTCCCATCACAGGAGGGGTGACAGTGCTGAGTCTTGATTTCCTGTGGGCAGACGGAGTGCCAGTGTTTTAAAAATATTGTTTAAGTATATTTTTATTTTGAAACAATCCCAAGTTACAGATGGGTCATGCACTTTTAATTCAATGCAAATCAAGAAATATGTATTGAGCACTTATTATATGCCAGGCACAGTTCTAGGTTCTGGGGATGTAGCAATGGGCGAAACAGATCCCTGCCCTGATGGGGCAGATGTGCTACTGGAAAGCCAGAGAACATTGTCACGAGTTGTAATGAATGCTAGAGAGGAAATACTGGCGGGTAAGCTCCGAGATGAAGGATGGGGTCAAGGGCATGGGCACAGTAGTGTTTAGTCGGGTGCTTCTGGGAGGCCTTCCTGAGGAGGAACTGGGAATGAAAGTGAGATCACGGACCATGTAGTTATCTGGGGGAAAAGCATTTCTGGGCCGAGGGAACAGCAAACGCAAAGACCCTGCTCTGATGAGAAAGAGATGAAGGTGGATACACACAGTCCCATTTAATGCTCACACTGTCCCAGACTGGTCACTGACCCATGTCACATAAGAGGAAACTGAGGCATGGAGAGGCAAGTCACATAACTGGCAAGTGGCTGAGCCAGAATTTCATCCAGGGTATTTTGACACCAAAGGATTTACCTTTCAAATAATAATAAGGGTAACAATAACCATAATAATTGCAGCAACCAAGGTCAGTGTGCCTCTGTGTGTATGCGTGTGCATGCACATGTGCGCATGTGTGCCTGTGTGTGTACGTATGTGCATCTCTGAAGGATTGGCATGCTGGCAATTCCTTGTTCCTTGGGGTCTGGAGTGGAGCCAGAAATGGAGGTGATTCCAGGTGCCAGGGTTCAAGGCTGATTAATGACAGGGTGTCTGGTTCCCAGGCTGGGAAGAGGGGAGTGTGGGCATGGCCAGGAAAGGTGCTGTGAGTGCCGATCTGGCTGGGACCTGAGCAGATTTTGCTCACCTATGCATCTCAACTCCTAGCCTGGAAGGTAATAGGTGTCCAATAAATGATGTGAAATGAAAGAAGGTGGGAGCACACTGATTCAGGGAACAGCAAGAACCAAGGGGCGTGCTCAGAGGATAGCCTCTGGAGATCATGAGAGGAGAAGCTGCTGGGAGGCCATAAACCTTGAGGGAGGGTGGGACCTGGTCAAAGATAGACCTGGGAGGAATTCATCCCCATTTCCAGATGCACGGCTAGGCCGAGGGACACCCATCGTGGCGGTGGGGAGGCAGTGCTGGAAGCCTGGAGGTGGCCTGGGTGCTTTACTCCAAGGGGAAACTGTTGAAGGCTTCTTCTAGGAAGTCAAGGGGCATCACCCCAAAATCTCTAGGGGTTGCAAAGCCCCTCGGTGCTGCAAGTGCCCTGGCCAAGAGGACACAGTAGGTGACCTGGCTGTTGGCCGCACTTCCAGGCTCAGCTTAGCCTGTGGTTTCTTGAGTCCCGCCTCCAGGAGCCCCTGGGACAGGCCAGCAGCTGGAGGTCTCCTAACCACGTTACCAGAGGAGCAGGAGAGCCCCATGACGCACAGAAGGTTGCACCCCAGCTCCCAGCCCTGCAATGGGACTAACTTCATCAAAGCCCCCACTACAGCATTAACCACCTGACCTGTGCCCCTGCCGACCTGCTAATTTCACCAATTACTGGCCAACCGCGGCTGCATCAAGTGGGCCCGCTTAGCTCCGACAGCTGCTGGGCAAATCCAATTACGGCCCAGCAGCCCAGGCGGTCGCATGGTCCTGGAGCTGGGTGCACGGCAGAGATCTGGGTGCTTGCAAGACACTGGTGTCTAAACGCCCTCAGGATCCCTGGGCCAAGGCACTGTCTGTACTCCGTTCCTTTCACCAAGCCTGGCCCATGAAACCAGTACTTTCCCTCTCTAGCCCAGACTGTGATAGATCACAGCATTGCCCTCCCTAACTCCTCCCGGGGCTGCTGAGCATGGCAGCTGCTGTGCCCGGCGAAGCATGTGCTGTGTCCTGGACCGCTTTGCGGAATCCTGTCGCAGCCCTTAGCTGCATTTGCCACACTGAGAAGCCGAAGCCTGGACAGGCTGAGGTGCAACTAGGGATGTACACCCAAGATCAAGTCCAACTCCCTAAACGGGCATTCGAGGCCCCTGCGGCCTTTCCAGCTGCACATGTAACCCACCCCCCGGGCACTGACTGCCCAGCGTCCACGTTTTGTGCTTTCTGTCCCTGCACCTGAGCCTCCCGTCTCATCTCCTTTGGGCCTGTTAAATGCCTCCTTGGAAGCCTCGCTCCAAGTCACCTCCTTGGGGAGGCCTCACCAAGCCCCGCTGGAGCAGGACATTCTGGCCGAGGGAACCTTGCTTTCTGGGCCTGGCTTTGTGCCAGGTGCAGAGATTGCAGTGGTGAGGAAGCCCAGGGAGGGCCCACAGAGCCCCCACAAGCCAGCACGCACACCCTGGCTTGGACCAGCTGGTTGGGTCCAGCTCCATTCCACTTCTCATGCAACAGTGCCCCAAGAGGGGTGGGGGTTACATGGAGGGCCCTCTCCTGGCCCAGCCTCAAAGGGCTCCTAAGGGGTGAAGGGCCCACCTTTAGATTGTAGCTCCTTACCCCCATTGCTGCCTCCTGGATCCCCCCATCACTCCCCTGGGCATTGCACCAGCCTCCTCCT